TCAAGAACTAACCATTGGAGCCAGGGCCGGTGCTTCCTATAGGTGACTTGGGCAGTCACTTAGGGCGCAACATTGAATGGGGCGCCCTGAGCCCAGATCATTGGTACAGTGCAGCTCTCTGTATGTGCCACCAGTGAGGCGCCCCTCATGCTGTGCCGCCTGAGCGCTGTATAGCAAGCCTCAGGCGGCACAGCACTACTGCTGTAAGGGAATGCCTGGCATGGAGATGGTCCGTCTCTTTCACCCTACACAATTTTTAATCTCCTTCACCTTCCCCCACTACCACCTATTGGTGTGTTGGTGATTACCATCCACGTTGCTTGGAGGTGATAGAGTCCCGTGATGCTTCCTTTATGAACATCTCAGAATTCTGTGGCAGAGCACAATTTAAAGCTATGTATAAAAGTTTGGAGATAGGTAGTGGGTAAGGTGATAATATAAAAGTTTGGAGATAGGTAGTGGGTAAGGTGATAATATAACTGGATGAGCAAGGTGACAATGACAAGAGAGAGGGTAAGATGATGTGAAGAAGAGATCTGAAAAAAAACTCATTCATTTAAATTTAGCAACAATTTTTTTTTTTGTCAGTACATCATAGAATTGTTACATAACCTGTCGTGTATTGCCCAATAATTAATGTACTTCACACAAAAACATCATGTGCAAAGCACTCGTTTTGTCATATGGTTATATGTCAAGTTATAGCTGGTCAATATTGTCATTAAAATAATTGCAATAGGACAAGGCTGGTATAGAAGCAGGAAAAAATCAACCAAGTATATACAATCAAGTAGATAAGTAGATGACTGCCATCAGAAATTTTGAGGCTCTTCACACAGCTCAAGGCCCGGACTCCCAGGGCCCACTCCTAGTATGCCCATAAGACCTGCGTCTGAGTTCACCCACAGGACCCAGAACTGAGTCCGTTCACATGGAGTGGAGTGTATGTGTTGTGTGTTATTGTAGGATATGTAATGTATGTGTGTTTATGAAATGTAGTGTATAGGAAATCCAGTTTGTGTGTGTGCCTGTATAGGGGAAATAGTATGTGTATATGGGATGCAATGTGTGTCTGTGTAAGGGAGGAAGTGTGCGTGTATAGTGGATGAGTGTGTCTGTAAAGAATACATACGGTGTGTGTTTGTGTGTAAGAGATGCATTGTGTGTTTTGTGTGTGTGCAATGCATTGTGTGTTTCTGTGCATAAGAGATGCAGTGTGTGTTTTTGTGTGTGTTTGTGAGTGTGTGTGCGTGTGTGTAAGGGATGTTTTGTGTGCTTGTTGTGTAGTGTGTGAAAAAGAGATTGTTGGGCAGGATATAGAATTTTTGTGGGGGGTAAGAGAGGGTAGCAGCTTTACTTTTTTTAATATTATTTTTTTTTCTTTGCTTTTTAAAAGGTTTCCCCCTCCCCCTGTTTCTTACCTGTACCTACAGAGTGGGGACAGAGCATTCCATTGTGGTCTGGTGGTGGTGTAAAATTCTCAGCCTTCCCCTCTGCCAGTTGAATGCTCTTCTGTGGTATTGGAGCTTTGAAACCCAGGGTTTGCAAGAATGACATGGTCTTCCACCGAGGTGAAGGCTGAGAGCCTCCTGCCCCCTTCCAGTTAGGTCTGGAAATATTTGGATACTGACACAATTTACATAATTTTGTCTCTATACGTTATCTTTCAGGGACTCAAATGTTTTTGGACAAATTAGCACAATCATAAATAAAATGTTAATTATTAATACTTTGTCAAGAATCCTTTGCATGCAACCATTGCTTGAAGTCAGGAACACATGGATATTATTATTATTTTATTATTTATATAGTGCCAGCAAGGTCCGTAGTGCTGTACAATGGGTGGACTAATAGACATGTAATTCTAACCAGAAAAGTGGTCAGAGGGGTTGAGGGCCCTGCTCAATGAGCTTACATGCTAGAGGGAGATGGATATAGTGACACAAAAGGTGAAAGCAGGGGTACGAAGTAAGTTGTTAGAAAGGTTTTCACTGAGGGCTCAGTAGGTTATTTTTGACAGTTGCAGGAGAGGAGTCAGGGTATGGGGATGAAAACCTGCTAACAGTTTAATCGATACGCTCTCCTGAAGAAGTAAGTTTTCAATAATTTTTTTGATGGAATGGAGACTGGGTGAAAGTCTAACGGAGAAGGGAGTTCCACAGAAAAGGTGCAGCCCTGGAGAAGTCTTGAAGACGAGTACGGACAGAGGATAGACGTAGGTCTTCGGGAGAGCGTAGGGGCTAGCCAGACATACTTGTCTGGCTAGGTAGGTAGGTAGGTTGGAGCAGCATTATGTAGAGACCTGTAAGCATGCACCAGAATCTTATATTAAGCCCTATATCTTACTGGAAGCCAATGTAAGGGCTGACAGAGGGGGGAAGCGTGTGAGGTGCGGGCAGACAGGAAAATAAGCCTTGCCACTATATCATCAAACACTGGGTTTCCTCCTTTGTGATGCTTTGCAGGCTTTTACTGCAGATGTCTTCAGTTGTTGTTTGTTCATGGATCTTTCTGCCTTAAGTTTTGTTTTCAGCAAGTAAAATGCATGCTCGATCAGGTTGAGATAAGGTGATTGACACGGCCATTGCACATCTTTGACTTAAAAACTCCTGGGTTGCTTTGTGTGGTATGCTTCAAATCATGAGGCATTTCAAGCCTTCTCCATACTTTTTTTCTTCCCATCATTCTGGTACAGTTAGACTTTAGTTTCATCTATCCAAAGAATGCCATTGGCTGACTTTTCTATTCTTGAGGCTTATGAATAGTTTGCACCTTGTGGTGAACCTTCTTTATTTGGTCTTGTGAAGTCTTCTTTTTATGGTAGACTTTGATAATAAAATTACAAAAAGAGAAGTCCTAGGCTCACTCCCATCACTCCTGGGCGGCAGCAATGACCACAGTACACATCAGCATTGGAGGAAATGCCCACCTGCCTAACACTGACCCTTCACCTTGCTTCCTTGAGCTTCTGGAAAAGATATCTCCACTGAGACAGAGAGGGGTATTTTTTATATACACCCCTATATATTTATTAACCCTTAATAGGGAACACATGGGATGGGCGGCAGCATTGTGACAAATGGAGGTCATTTAGTTACTCCAATGGCCAATCACACAGCTTTGTTACAATGCAGCCGTCCATACCATGTGTTCCCTATTAAGAGTTAATAAGTATATAGGGGTGTATATAAAAAATACCCCTCTCTGTCTCAATGGAGATATCTTTGCCAGAAGCTCAAGGAAGCAAGGTGAAGGGTCAGTGTTAGGACCCGCTTAGGGGGTCTGCCTTGACGTTGGCAGGCGGGCATTCCCTCCAATGGCCATTGGAGTAACTAAATTACCTTCATTTGTCTAAATATACATAGGGATTAAGGAGAGAGCGCAGGTAACCCTTTTTTTCCTTTGGTTTTTGATAATAAAATGCCTAACTCCAGAAGAGTGTTTCTCACTTGACTGGATGTTGTGAAGAGGGTTTTCTTTCCCCATGGAAAGGATCTGACAATCATCCACCACTGTTGTTTTCTGTGGAGGTCTGTTAAACTTTGACTCGGGCCTTTTTGGTTTGCAGAGCTTACCAGTGTATTTTTTCTCAGAATGTACCAAATTGTTGATTTGGCCACTCTTAATGTTGCTATCTTTCTGATGGATTTTTTTTGCAGCCTAGGGATGGCCTATTTCACTTGCATTAAGCGCTCCTTTCTATGTTGTGGGTTCCAAATGCGAATGCCACACCTGGAATCTACTCTAGGCCTTTTACTTGCTTAACTGGTGAAGAAATAACAAAGGAATAGTCTGCACCTGTCCATGAAACAACTTTTGAGTCATTTGTCCAATTACAATTTGGCCCTTGAAAAAGATCAGGAGCTACATTTTATAGGGCAGTAATTCCTAAACCCTTCCTCCAGTTTGGATGTGAATCCCCTCAAGTTAAAGCTGAGAGACTGCACTTTAAGCTCATAATTGTTATTTATTTATTTATTTGTAAATTGTTTTTTTTGTCATGCATAAGAGTACAAAACACCCTGCATTGTCAAAACAGCAATTGCAAGAATATCGGGAAACACTATGAAATATATAGCATTAAGTTTTAAACAATTAGAGATAGCATTATCTGTCATTTCAATGAAACAGCACAATTTTTAGTGTATAGGTTACCATTGCTTAAGGAAGCACTCCTATGGTTCCTAAAATAATAATGCTTTCAAACATGAGATAGCAACTAGTCGAGTTAATCTTTGAGGATAGGCATTGTATAATTGTGAAGGAGTGCTCACAGACGTTCACAGCATAATATATGAATCTCCTAGATAGAACTGCTTTATTTTGTGTTACGTAAACATGAATTTAACCATGCTAGGCTGTTGTGTCAAGACCAAAAAAAAAAACCCCATAAGTAAAGCTCAAACATTAGAGGAGAAGTCATCTTGATCACAGGCTAGTTAAATTAATAGGTGAGCTGATTTACAAGATAAGCTATAACGGATGAGATTTGCTCCCTAGTAGGTACTGGATTATCCTTAGAATAAACAGGTTTACTAACAGGATAAACAGGTCAGTTAACCACTGGCATCACAATCAACTCCTCATACTGCGTAAGGCAATTAAATTAAACTCAAGGTCAAGGTAAAGAGTGTTAAAATCACACTTGTTGTTCAGTAGTGTCTGCAAACATGCTACAAAGCTGGGGGCGGGGAAATGGCCACTGGAGCTGAGTGAGCCAGTTCGTTACAGCCTAACACAGGTTGCAGTGAATAGAAAGGCAATTAGTTTTCAGGTGGTGAGTATGGTAGACAGTGTCCACTTGTATCAGGGAGGGAACGGCTCCAGAGCAGCACGCTGGCATGTAAGTTCAGGCGACCCTTAGAATTGGGAACTTCCAGGTGGGCGCAGGAAAGCCCTGTGTAGCGGAAGCCCGTCCAGAAGGGCTCGGCTGGTGACCGGCGCATCCACGCCCTTAACATTGTACTTTTCCAGCCCCAGGTCTGTGTGAGTGCCTGCATCATTAGTCCACGGGCTCTGGACCATTCAGGACCCACGTCCTTTCCCTGTCAGGGATTAGTGGGGCATTTGGTTGGTGTAGGCTGCCAGAGGTGTGTAATCCTTCCTCCTCTTGGTCGATGCCGTGATGCAATGCCTCGGGTGTCTCTCAGCCTAGAAAGGTGAGTTTCAGTGCAGGGTCTCCACTGGGGGGTTCAATTTTTCTCAGCGGGTCGTTATCTGCTCGGACCTCCTTATGCTGTAGGAATACAGCTCTGGATCTTGCCTGAATCTACTCCAAAAAGGTCTGAAATATTTCATCTAGGCGACTTAAGATGTGTGCTGTAGAGCTGTGAGGAGGCTCACGAAGGGGGTTTAGGCCCTGTCTGGGCACCATCTTAGGTGCAGATCCCTGCGGTGTGTTGCAAGGGGGTATCACCAGGTTGCAAGGGGTTGCAAGGGATGCCCACCACGATCAGCCAGTGAGGACAGGGATATCGAGGTAACAGGGCTCAGGCTTAGTACGCTCCAAATCGAGCCAGTGGATCGGCCCCCTCCCGGCCCGCATTTGTAGCTGTAGGCCTCAGAGGAGTCTCACACGGACTGTGTCTGCAGTATTCAGGCTGAATTGACACAGATATGTTGCGGTGTGCTCCCTGAGTGTATGAGCAGGACTTCAGCTGAAAATAATGCAGTAATCCCTGACAGAAAGACTTTTTAATGATTTTCCCGGAAGAACTGCAGCAACATGCGACTTACTCGGTCTGCAACCAGACCCCCCCCCTCCCCCATAATTGTTATTTAACTGTAACTTTATTTTATGCTGTTAAACCAAAAAATAGCAAATCCTGTGTCAGTGTCCAAATATTTCCAGACCTAACTGTACATATTGTGGATATAGTGCCCAGACTAGCCATGCCCCCTAATGGCCTAGGCCTCTTACATGTGTGTACCCCGCTGATGGCGGCCCTGTATACAGTTCAATCAAAATTCAACACTAAATGATATTTGGGGTCCTGCTATATCATAAGCAAACTGTCATATTGCAAACTGGAGATGATAGAGCAAAAATATGTACTGACAATCCACTATAGTGATAAAATGGCTAAATATGATATCTAAGATGGCCAACCTATGTGATGACGAAGGCCTTCTGTCCGAAGCCAGATTGGCAGATGCTCTGTGGCTGTCCACATTATGCTTTATATGGCATTCTCCTTCAGGTATCCTTTCTTGAGTGGTAGCAAAGTAGTACACCAGAGGAGCATGGGGTGGTGCCATGTGATGACAATACCAAGGCTTGCTTCAAGGATGAAGTTAGTAGGGCAGCCTAGTTGCAGGGCGGAGATCAGGCTGATACTCAAAGCCTTACATATCCCGAAAAGTTGTCTGGGCCAGGGGCTAGATTCTGAGATTATACTACTACAAGGCCAGATGGGCCAATAATTAAGTTGGCTGTCAGTGGTTAGAGGAGCTCTATGATAATGCATGAGAAATGTTTCGTGTAACGGCACCCCGGGCATAAAAGGGGTTAAACGCCGTTTAGAGGATATTCCCCTTCCAGATACACAGGCAGCTACCAAAGACACCAATCCGCCGAACAGGAAACCATATGAATGCCGTAACAGCCGAACTGGAACCATACGAATGCTGTAAACAGCCGAATAGGAAAAACCATACGAATAGGTTTACACTCCTAGCAGTCGGTCTGAAGCAGCATACAGTAAATGCAACCAAGAACGAGACAAGGCTCCGTTTTGAGGGTCAAGCAGGAACAGACAAAGTTTATTGTTCTTATATACACATTCTTACACATTAGTACCACCCACAGGGTTTTGTAAAACAACCAATAAATAAGTACAATACACTCAGACACTCCCACACCCCCCTGCCTGTGATACAATTACCTTACACAATGGGTTAATGTAATTATCACAGGCAGAGAAATACAGTTTTTCCACATTATTCATAAATGTAAAAGTATACATCATATTCACATAAAACTTACATTTTCAATCAGCATACTCCAAATACAAACATATGTCAAAATCATCATCCAAACTGGTCCAGTGGTTCAAAAGATAGATTGAAGTCCTTTGTGAACAAATGAAGCATGGCTTTTCTGCCCAAAACCAGTTCCACAGAGTCTTTTATCCTGGAGATAATTTGGAAGTAATCCATTTATCTCCAAGGACAGAGGCAAAACTCCACTGAACACATGGTAGCAAAAGACAATAAAATACATAAAAATATAAAACTGTGCAGCTATTGTATAAAACAGCTTATCCCCAGATAGCTTAGATCTGAGCACACATTATTACTGAATGGCGCTCAGATCACATATATACAGTTCAATTGCAATGGAGCCAAAGTCTTTCACATAGTCTTTTGTTATACAAATGGGCTCCATGGCATAGGTATCTGGGGTATCACTGTTCAAATAGGGCAAGTACCAAATGACCCTGCTTTCGTGTCTTTGCAGGGGAAAATCAAGCATTTCAACATTGGGCCATAGTCTAAAGGCAGCAGGCGGGCAACCAGGCTCCTCCAATGCACAGTGGCGAGATTGGTCTTGTCACTTTTAGCTCATCCCCTGTTAGTCCTATTATTTTAATTTTAAACTTGCTTATAACATTTATTTAAATTATACATCTGAAAGGCACAGGAAGATTAGAAGCTGAATACTGGAAAAAGTATTTATTTGATCAGACATTGCAAGAATCGATGTAACGATAAGTCACTGTACCACTGCGCTGCACCTTAAGCAAGAATGCTTGAGTAAAATACATTAGTGAGGTCAGCTGATCTGAAAAAGAAGGTGTTTCATGCAAGACACACATTGTATTGTTTACCATCATTAAGTTTTCACCATCTAATGAAGGCAGATTAATTTATTGCGAGCAGGGCCGGCGCTCCCTAAAGGCAAACTAGGCGGCTGCCTAGGGCGCTACTTAAGTTAGATTATTGAGCATGCCACCAGCTCGGAAGCACTTACATTGTTGCTCACTAGCGCCTGGTAGAACACAGGTCCGGTGGCATACAGATCAGTCCACTCAGCAAGGCCCCCCCTCCCAGGCATGCATTGGGGCAAAGCTCGGGTGCTTCAATTCCTTGCTCCCGCCCCTTCCCCTGTACGTGGGGAGAAGTGGGCGGGAGCATAATGTGCAGAGAAAGGAGGAAATGTGGCAGCCAGGCGCAGGGAATGAACAGCAATGAAGGTAAGGTATGTCAGAGAATGTGTGTTAGTCTGCTTCAGTTAGTATGTTTATGTATGTTAGTGCGTCTGTTTGTATGGGTCAGTGTGTCTGTCTGTATGGGTCAGTGTATCTGTCTGAATGTGTCAGTGTCAATGTGTCAGTATGTATGGGTCAGTGTCAGTCTGTATGGGTCAGTGTCAGTTTGTATGGATCTGTGTGTCTGTCTGTATGGGTCACTGTGTGTCTGTATTGGTCAGTGTGTGTCTGTATGGGAAAGTGTGTCTGTCTGGATCAGTGTGTCTGTCTGTATGGGTCAGTGTGTGTCTGTATGGGTCATTGTGTGTGTCTGTATGGGTCAGTGTGTGTATGCATGGGTCAGTGTGTCAGTATGTGTGTGTCTGCATGGTTCAGTGTGTGTATATGAGTCTGTGTGCATCAGTCTACATGGGTTAGTGCTTGTGTGACAGTTTGCATGGTCAGTGTGTGTCTACTTGAGTCAGCGTGTGTGTTAGTCTGCATGATTGGGTGAAGCAAATGGGGCGACAAATTTGTTTTCGCCTAGGGCACCAAAAATGCTTGCACCGGCCCTGATTGCGAGTAATGTTACCATTGGTATGTCCATTGATTATATGTTGGCACTCTAATAATTCCTGTTATTTTGGCATATAGTTAGTATTATTGCAAATGCCCTAGAAGGCTGCACCTACTTTAATCTATGTTGATATGCTAATTAAAGGTGTTTGAGAAAAACAGGAAACAGTACACTAATTTAGTTTCAATGGTAAAAAAAATTGAAACAATCTTAAATGATATGTGTTTCAGCAGTAGCTTCAATGTACTTATACAAACCACCAAAACTAACATTCAGAAATAACTGCGTTGGTTCTTGTTGAATCAGTGTCTTCTCAAAATTAACTGCCTGCATTCCCTCATTAAGTAATCAAAGAAGAGCCCCATTATGAACTATTATGAATAATTAATTATTAACATTCTTATTAAAATATGCTTTTATATGACACTCACTTCTAATATCTGATCCTGACACCCTTTCCTCTACCTCTGTTCTTTCTTGGCATGTGCAGGAAGACATATTATTGTTGCTGCTCTGTTAGATGCTTGATTGACCCAATCTGGGGCATTAATCCAGCTAACCTTTGTAGAAATGTGTGACTAGTGTCATTTTGAATGTACATTCATACAAATTTCATGCCATTTGGACATTCAGATGCTTACGAATGTCCGAAGTGCCGAAGTCCCGAAATCCCAAAGCACTGAAGTGACGAAGTTCGGTAGGTTGGAAGTGCCGAAACTCCAACGTGCCGAGGTAATTCGGATTTCTGAAAAGTGGCAAGACAAGCCAGAGGGAGGGAAAATTACATGAATGATGACAGGAATCTTGACCAATAAGCTTATTACTTTTGTGCAATGACATCAGATCCTGTACGCGTCACATCATGGCTGCCACCGTACCCTGAAGGACATGCGAGGGAGCTGTGCTGCAAGAGCACAGTAAGTACTTTGCTCCCTTGCTGACTGGCATGGGATGTTTGTCCTCTATTGCTCATGATTGCATCAGACAAACATCCTTAGCCAATTATGAAATAGGATACATAAAGTAGACATGTGCAATTAGTTTTGTTCTGAATGTACATTCGTACAAATTTCACGCCACTCGGACATTTGGATGCTTATGAATGTCCGAATTCCTGAAATTCCGAAGCGCCGAAGATCCGAAGTGACGACGTTCTGCAGTTCTGAAGTGCCGAACCGGATGCCATTGGTCCGAATTGCCTAAGCAGACAAATTTTTTTACTTACCCAGATTTCCGAACCAATCCAATTTTTTTTACCAATGCACATCCCTAAACCTTTGTAAACTTAGTTTGTGCCGATAGATGGAGTTTCTGTGCCGAGTGTGCATTTATTTTCCATCTCCTGTGCATTTTCTGATTCTCCATGTACTGACCTTTTTCTGATTTATAGGCCACGAGCCAGACCTATCTGTTACTACACTTATCTGAATTATCAACCATGAATCAGAGCCTCCTATTCTGACCACTGCTTGTATTTTATTCCCTTATGCTTTTGTCTGATATGACCCTGGTGCCATACTCACTATATCCCCATGCCAATCTACTGGAAATATTTAGAGGCTACTGCATACCCACAGTGCTACACTGACTGGAAGGACTTGATGAAGAACACAATTCTACGAGTAGTAGTATGCAGTTGAGCTCTTCTTTGAAGTTAGTTACATTTGGCAAGAGCCATTATGGACCTTAGAGTTCTCATTACTAATCCAGGAGCAACAGGAACAAATCTTCACATTCCACAAGTCTTATCCCGTTTAGAGTAAAGATGACAATCTGACAGAGAATCATGAAAAAATGACTACAGTGGTATGTGGTGCTTAATGATCATTGCTCACTTGTGTCCTCTCCACTGTTTGCAAACATTAGCAAACACCTGACTCAGGACTCTTTTTATACCTCACGTTCACTGTGAGTTTATTTTATCCGTTATTTAATTAATAAATTTGGATCTTTTATTTACACGATGGGTGTCTGCTATATCCTGCTGATCCATGAGGGGAATATCGTAACACTCTAGATCTTTGCCAGTGATCTAGTTAGAGACTCTTCAGTTGTTGCTGCATGACTAACCACTATCAGTCTCTGCTCACCATTTGTGGTTATATTATTACAGCTACTGATACTGTGTGGCAGGTACTCATTATTATTCTGCTAATATCAGTCTATGTTAGCCGTTACATTGTTTGCAGAAACTGTATCTTATTGCCGAATACAAGGATCTCTACGTATTGGGACAGATTTACATCTGCTGCTATTGCACTCTGAACTTTATTAAGCTGAGTCTTATACTGGACTTTTGTTTATCTTTGCTGCTAAACCACATATTGGACAGAGTTTTATCTCTATTGTTCCACTGCACTGTGCTTCGTTGTTTCTATATGCATTTTAATTACTGCATGTCATGGTCAGACATAGTTTTCTGCCCCTATTGCAGTTAGTATTACTATTTTATTCACCACTCAGTTTTTCATTCTATTTTTTACTTATCTAATTTTTACTTATCTATTGATTTACTTTTACCAACTGCACTTTCTCTTGGTCCTATTTTATGCTGTTTCACCTACTTTAACTCTTTCCAGCTCATATTCTCCTGCTCCACGTGGTTCAGTTTGATTCTTTACCCATTTATATCCATATCATTTTTTTTAGTCCCTTATCCATTCTACCTGTTCTCTATTCTGGTCATATATTTGACTGCTGCTGTTATTTCTTATTTTTATGTAGGTGATGTGGAATCAATCAATTAATTGATTATCTTGCGTATCTGTCTCCGGCCAAATTTAAAAAGATGCGTGCACGCTCCTGAAGTAAATTCACACCAGAAACAGGTTTCGGGTTAATGAAAAACTTGAGGAATGTTTATTCTGGGGGGACGGCATGCCCCTTATAAAGCAAAATTACATCATATGCATTGTCAGAGATAACATGGAATAGTACATCAATAATTGGTTAGGTGTTAAGTGGTTCATTTAGTGCCCTTCCTACCGGGTGTGATGTCACTGGTATCTTGTAGGTCTCCCCCAGATTCCAGCGCCATCTTGTTAATGAGGGTTTTAGTCGAAGTCAAAGGGAAACTCCCTAGCGGCCATTTTAGGTAAGTCACATCTAAGATTGAATAATGCTGATTGTGGTTATGCTGAGTAAATAAGCATTTTATTAATAGGAATTGGGTTAAAATTTTTGTCCACAACAATCCCCCCTTAAAATGACTATTTACTAAAGAGACAACTACTAACTGACCCTAATAATGTCCCTACTTGGCTGCAGCTCATCTGTCTGAACAGGCCTCGAACACTTCACTGAGCGGGTATCCCGTAGTGGCTAACCCACTACATCTCCTGCGTCAGACTCCTACCCGTGGAGACAGACGCTGTCCCTATGCGGTCCCTTTAAAGAAGTAGTTGTCCTTTTGAGGTGGTGGGACTGAAGAGGTGTGTGCAGTGTGTCACAGTCTATATCGTCAATATATTGATGTAGGAATGTAGGTGTGGTGCAGTCAATGGTCTGATCTACAGTCTTTTGTAAGTACCTTTGCACCCATGGCATCACGCAGCAAACCAGGAAGAGGAGGAGAATCACTATTGTAAGAACTGCCATACCTACTTGAAAGAGAACTCAAAGCCATCCACTCATCCATCCCAACCATCTGTCCCATGAATTGGAGACCCCTGAGTTCTTTTTTAATTCGGCAGAGAGACTTTCTAATTTCTCTATGGCCATGGTTACTTCACCATTGGGGCCTGTATTATCTGGGATGAAGGTACAGCATGTCATAGTGTCGGGGAGTATTTTACACCCCCCCCCCCTCTTCTGCTAGGATCATGTCTAAGGCCATTCGATTCTGGAATGTCATTTGGGAGGTAGCCTGCAATTGTTCTGCCAAGCCTTGAAGGGCATCTCTAGTATAATTGACAAAACGTTGCTGATTATAATAGATATAATTATAGGCATGATGGCTTTGGTCAGAGTGCATTCTCCCCACCACAGGCCAGTCATTTTAGATCTGAGTTGCATATCACCACATAGCCAATAAATGTCTCCCAAGGACTTGACTTGATTTACCAATAAGGTAGTGGGAAGTGTCTGATAGGTGGCACAGTAACCGGGAGGGAAACTACCCACAATTGTACCCATGGTTCCGTGTATAGTGTAGATCTATACACCTGGATACACGGTGATTCCATCAGGTGGCCTGAGATTCCCTTGAGTTATTGGATATGCCTTTTTCCATGATTCACATACTGATGAGTTTGTGGTTGATTGTACATAGAGGCTTAGAAAACACATCTCAACATCGGGGGGTAGATTGAAAGGCACTGTACCCAGATGGAGTCTGGCCCTGCCACAGACATAACAGTTAGTTTTATTGTGTGAATTAGCATTATACCTCATCCACTCAAGCCATAGATTGGTATCTGAAAAACTGGTCTCCACAGCCATAGTGTCCTCGAATGTAGGATTGGCAATTGCCACCATGTCCTTAAGAGTTTTAATGTGTGGTTTTAGAGGGTTCGTGATCATGTGTGTAGAGTCTACCCAGCAGGGCCGGACTGGCCCACCGGGATACCGGGAAATTTCCCGGTGGGCCGCGGCACCTGGGGGGCCGGAGAGAGAAAGGGAGCCCTTCTCCCTTTACTTTAATAATATCGCGGCCGCCGGCCGAATGTCGGTGCCGCCGGGTGGCCGGTCCGGCGGCACACTCTGAGGTGATTACTCACCTTGCGGCCAGCGGCCCCATCAGTATCAGCTGTCAGTATCAGTGAGTGGGCCGGGCGGCTGCCTAAGCGATCCAGCAGCACACTCACTGATACTGACAGCCATGCGGCTGTCAGCACAGGAGGATTGAGGGAGGGGGCGGAGCTAGCTACCATGCTCCCTCGCAGTTCCCAGAATTACTGGTTACTGTATGATGTGTCCATGCTGGGAATTCTGGGAACCGCGAGGGAGCATGGTAGCTAGCTCCGCCCCCTCCCTCAGTCCTCCTGTGACAAGGTCAGAAGGGACACAGAAGGGAGGGGAGACAAAAAGAGGGGAAGGAGGGGGGGACAAATGGAGGGGAAGGGGGGGACAAA